AGTTTAGAAACTCTTATAAAAGGTATCAAAAATCTTTAAAAATATCTATAACACAAATATATTAAATTTTTCAAGGTGCACAGAAGACAGAAAACGGGCGGCCGATAGATAACACCAACCCCAAGCCCTGGCAAACTCCGCCGGACGCACGCACCGGATACGGGATGCAGATGAAGGAGTGGGCGGGTCCGGACTTCGGGGGGTGGTGTGGCTCCCTTTTTTTAAGTGGAAAAGTGGAAATAAATTAAAAATGGGTGGCACGACGAGTGGCTGCGAGTCTCGAACGCGTCTGCCACACGACGACAACGACGCTGCCGGCTTTGGCTCTCGGCTTTCTGGGAAGGTAAAACTTTAGGATAAAACAGTTGAACTTCGAAATGTGAATTTGATTAGGATATTTGCATAAAATTCTGTTTCTGCGCCAAGTACACACTCCGCTTCACATTCCCCCACCCCCCGCATCCCTCCTCGAAAGTCAGCCATAAAAAATCCGGCAGTTTTCGTTGTGGGGATCCGACCTGAGGTGGAGCGTATGTTCGCTGCCGGAAACGGAAGTATATAAGTCAACCTAGATTTGGTTTAGTAGCAGCTCTGCTGATACCAAGGACAAATGGCCTTTCAGTCAGAAACTTGCCGAAAGCCGGGGTAAAAGTGCTTTAAGGACTGCATTATTTAAATTTTTAGGAAAGTGGTTGGTGGGAAGCTAAATACTCAATGTGTGGAAATTTAAGTGGCTCAGTAAAGGTGAGAAGCATTAAAGTATAATACAAAGTCTAGACTCTTTTAATAATAACCATTGATATAGACATGTATCCTGTGTTCGCCTGACTTATTGCTCTTTTTTAGAAGGCAGACGACATTCTTCGCGGCTCAACAAATCAAGAACCATGTCTCACTGTTGTCATCGTTTAAACCTCATTATTGTACGTGGTCCTTATGCAATCCTTACGAAACTCTTCCCCTATTAACGTCCTCTTATCTACGGCTTATCCCGCCCTATGAAGGCACCCTCCCCGCTGGGCCACAATTAGGCTTGTCCATAACAGCAGCTAATAGTTTCGTAAATAGTTTTGGCCAATATTTACATGAGTTGCCTCCTGCCTCGGCTGCCTGTTGGCTTTGTTCCTTTTGTCTCTGGCTGCCATTGTGAAAATATTTGTCTTCAAATGGCCCATTGTCTCTGCCCGCCCTGCCTTCTCTTGGTCGAGCGGCGACTACACTCGAAAAAATATTTACTCAAATTTTAAGTTCTGAATTTATTTAATTTCATTTTTGATGAGTTTGTTTTTATTGATTATTGTTTAAAAAAGATTTTTAAAGAGGTTTTCGAATCAGGATTAATGGATATTTAAGCAAAGTTGAAAACTTTGTTTGAGAAAATGTGTTTAGATTGCGTAAAAATGCAGTTTTTTGTTTTTAAAAGAGAGAAAAAGTTAGTTTCTGTAACAGATGACTAATCTTCGTTTGGTTTCATAGAAAGATTTTACCCATATTAATAATATTTTCTTTTTAAATCACATTTTTAGAACAGACTTTCAAAACTGATCCCATAAATACTGTAAAGTCTACTACAAAACTCTTCTCTGAGTGCACACTCATCCGCAGTGGACGCCGTCCAGTGCTGACGTGCGTCTGTCTCAAGCTCGTCGTCTTCCATCCGCTTTCGGGCCACATCTCTTAGTCTGCGTCTGCGTTTGTATCTAAGTCTATGGGTCTGCCCTCTGCCCGAGTATCTCTATCTGCAAATGTATCTGTGTCTCCGCGTTTTTCTCGCCGTCTGCCTTACAAAACGTGTTCATTACAATCCGCTTGCCGTTGCTTCTGCTGCAGCCGCTGCCGCTGCCACTGCCGCCGATCGGCCAAATGTGTCAGAGCTGAAACGTCATGATTAATGATGCAAACATGTGGGCCTGGGCCCGTCTCTGTCTCCGTCTCCGACTACGACTAGGGCTACGATTCCCAATCCGGCTGCGAGTCCGGCTACCTTTACGGCTCGAATGCGTTCAGGGGGGCAGAGACAAAAACAGCCCGAGGACAGGGCAGGGCATGGGAATGGGATTGGGATTGGGAATGGGTAAGGGTATAAGGAATGAGAATGGTAACGTTTTATCAAGGTAAATTAGAAGACGGGACACCCGAAATGTAAACATCGAACTGGGCAGCACTTGGACATTAGGCGAAATTAGAAATTAATCCTGCCACTGCACCACAGATGGAAACAGTTCCAGAGGGAGGGTGTGGGAAGATCCCAGTTTGATGGTCTGAGCGCGGGGAGAGTTTCTCTTTTTGGTTCGTCCGCTTCTTTTGGGGGCGGAACTTTAGAGGTCAGGCAAAATTAATGGGAAATCCTCATGACTGACAAGCTGGAGTAATAGCATATACACATATCATAGATGATCTATCGAAAGAGGCGCTGGAATAAGGAGAGCAATCGAGGAAGTCTCAAATTATACTGCAAGAAGGATAATGGCATTATATGAAGGAAATGTTCAAGTGGGAAAAGATTACTATCAAGGAGATATAGTTACTAAGAGTACTTGAAAAACATTTAAAATATTTTATATAACTTTTTAGGCATTAAATATTGCACAACCTTCAAAGAAAGTATCAAGCTACAAAAGGCAGGCTCAAGGAAAAAAGGCAGCTCAAGAAAATAAAAAATTAAAGAAACTGGCTGAATATTTTACAGATAAATATTCAAGAAACCCCTTAAGTAACCTAACTATTGTCGGTAACCGATTTAGCTGATATATATGAGCCCTATGTGACACATGTTGTCCTTCCAGCGTGGGTGTTGCTTATGTCCTGTGAAATAACCAACCCACAGCCAGCCAATTACAACACGACAATGTGCTGACCTCAACTCCGCTCCTGCCACGCACACATATACACACTTGCAACCTCGTGGCAAAGTGGTTACCGTTTTGTGGCCCAGCAGGAGACTCAAGGGGTAAGTTGGTGGCAGGACAGAGGGTGGGTGCAGCCAGCGATACAATAATTGCCCTGGGCCTGGGCCAGTCGTCAGTCGACATTGTTGTGGCTTATCGTGAATTACATGCACTGAGAGAAGTAATTAAGAAGCTATAAAATTACTAAGCTGTTTTGGTTGTCTATTTATTTATCAAACTTCGAAGAATATACTTTATTGACCTAATTAATCTGATTTCATTCCTATTTGGTTTTCTTATTTTAATGAAAATAATGTAAAGCCTTATTAACTGGTTTTGTATGCCATTTATTTTAGGATTCAAGAAACATGTCTATAGCAGTTTTAAACTCTCAAAATGAGTCTTACCTTCAGTTAGCTTGTTAATCAGAAATTCAAATGTATTGGAAATGTTGAAAACAGATGTCATTTTGGGGGAAATTAAGACTATTAAAGGCGTTTTGTATTATTAATTATTTCTAACTATTAAGTTGTAAATAAAACAATTCAATATAAATTATTTTACATTGAAACAGCTAACAAAAAGATAAAAACTTTAACCAATATAATACTTTCTTTTAATGTAAAACCCAGTATATAGTATAAACGTCTTAAAAGTGGGCTTCTTTTTTGTAGCTCATAAGGCATTTAAAAGTAAACAGGTTCTTTATCATCATCAATCCCCGTGTCATTAAAACTGTCTGTCTGTCTAGACAAAAATCAATATCTTTGTATATTCCAAGGGGTTGATCCCTAGATTGTCATATATTTAATGTCAATGTGAATTTGTTCAACAAAGTCAAGTTAAAAGTCTAATAAATATGATGATACTGGGGTAAGAGTACTGGTATATAGAGTGGGAAAATCCTATGCCTTTAGCTCGACAGCAGTAATATGATATAATAAGATGATATTTTCCAACCACGTTTTGCATTTAGAATAAATATTAAAGGTTTTTCTAAGTGCATAAACCAAAAAAAGTGAACGATGGAAAAAGCAGACCAGCAAGAACCACTAGCACTCGCTATAAAAAGCCGCCATGCCGGGTCATTCATTCATGCTGGAATGGAGAACTGAGCACTGAGAGCGGAGGGCAGGGAGTGGGACTGGAAATGGGAATGGGAACCCAAGGCATGCAATGGCCAGGTCGGGAAACCTGACATGTTCTTTTCGATCAGACAACGACCACCACCAAAAGGCAAAAAAATGTACAGCGAGGGGGAATGGAGGGTGTGGGGCCCAGTGTTTGTCATTGTGGGCACTCGGGCAGGTGTGTGTGTGTGTGTAGTACCTCAATCATGTAATTATTTCCTCCGCAACAAAGCCGAAAAAGAGAGTGAGAGAGTCTTTCGGGGTGTGATGTGTGTGTGTGTGTGGGGCCAAACTTAAACTGGTAGCGTGCTTGCGGCTCTCTCCCTTTTCAGCAAACAGCCGAAAACACGAACAAGATTGGTCTACATACAGATATTTCTTAAATTATATATAGGTACACGCAGACACATACTGGTATAAAAACATTCGTGTTTTGTTACTCAATTTAATTCAGGTAAAATATGTATTTTTCCCCTCTCTTCCTCTCTGTTTTTTTCTGTATATTTTCAGCCGTGTTTGGTTTGTTGTCTTCCCTCACCAAAAAAAAAAACACAGAAAAAACATGAAAAAATAAACCTAAACTTTGGTCACGAACATGAAAAAAGCGACGTTTCCGTTGAACCGTCTCGAAAATGGTCGCCGCTTGATTGGCTAGGTTTTTTCTCGGTTTTATGGTCGATTTTGGGCTTAGTCTGGATCTGGATGATTTCGATACACAAAATGGTCGTCGCAACTTGGCCCGATCTTTTCCACAGAAACGATATAATCATTTGGCTAAGCAAATTTTCAAGGGAAATCGGTATACAATAATTATTGAAATTCACAAAGCGAACTCTGCGGTTTTTGGCACACATCTTTGTAGGCTGGACCGAAATTGGTATAATAAGATTTAATCAGGCTACTGCGGTTTGAGCCCAGCTCGAGATTATGGGCTCGCCTTGAAGAGTCTCTCACGGCGAGTGCAAAATGTTTTCGATTTTGTAAAGTTTGAGGCCAATTGGAGAATCTTATGTCTTGTGGTTGGAAGTATTACGCAATGGGTAAGAAATTGTTTGTTTAGCGAGGTAAGTACTTACTTATGGAGTTATCACCTGAAATGGGAAAAGAAAAGGTTGTTATTAGTATTGGAATTTGGCTGTATGTCAGCTTTAAGTATGAATGATTATGATTAAATGTTTTATGTTTCAGAATTCAGTATCTAAGATGTCCATTTCAGCTACTTTTCAATTCCCTTAAAGACTTTCTTTCCCACAAAATCTCATTTTTAAGCCACCATTAACCAAAATTCTCCAAGTCATTGCAACTCTTTTAGTATTCCATTTAACCCGAAATTTAATGGAGAATTTAACAAAAAACTGAGCATAAATGGCATACATCCAGATGCTTGAAAAAATCGTTAAAAACTTATTGAGGTGTGTAAATATTTTAAGACTCCATTCACCTGCGAAGGAGCATACTTGACTGCCTCAAAGTAGAGGACTGAGACATCGAACTTGTTTATCTCTTTTTGGTGACAAAGTTGCTGCACGTATATAACTATGGTATGATATTTGGCCAAGAAACTTTCCTTACCGAAGTTGGCTTGTATCAAGAGTGGAAAATAATTAACCTCAAAGTTCGGAAAGCGGAAGTTTCCCAGCCGGTTTGACATGGTCAACACATGCAGCACGTAACGAGCGGTCAAGTGGCACAACTTCCTATCCCCATACTTGCCCAATTCTGTCCTGGGACCCAACATCGTAATTGAGAAGTTTCGATGGCAAAAAATAAAGAGGAAATCCCAGCCAGGATGGTCTCAAGGAAGCGGAGAACTTTGCTCAGAGGTCTATTATTCGAAAATGGGAGGAGGTTGCAAGTAAGGGGTTGGATCTCGATGATGATGATGATGGGCAGAGGCAAATAAAATCATGCTGTCGGAAATAATAGCGTCTAGTCTGGAACTTAATTCCTACTGGGTATGGTTTCAGGCGGTCTTCCTAGCCCACCCCACCCTCTTCCAAGTTTATGCAGTTTCATAAGCAATTTTTGATACTTTTCGTGAAGCGGCGGCAGCAGCTGCGTGATTAGCAAATATTTTCGTTTGATAATCAGCGAACATTCCCATTTCTATATGCAGCTGATGCGAAGCTCATGAATATGACTGGGCACTTTGTTTTGGCCATTTCGGATATTTCTGTTAAAGATGGAACTGGCTTTAATGGCTGGAGCTGCAGTTACGTCCGGTTCAAGCTCATTGGGATTTTCTGTTTGATAAATGGGCGGCGCAGTAACTATCAAAAATGTACAAATATCTTTCGTACTTTAGTATACAGTTGAAGAATATCAGAACTAACATATAGAAAATATTTTACCTACAACTTTTGCTTATTCCCACAGCAGACTTTCCCCTTAGTTCCACCTTAAAGTACCCAGTAGACACTTTCTAATCGCACTCAATGGCCATTTACCTAATTGAAAAGAATGTAGTGAGCTGTCTATCTATCTGCAAGCATTCATCTGTCAGTGAATATTTTGCAGTCTAAAGTTTCTTTTTTTCTTGGTTTCCGATCCCAGGTTCGATTCAAGGCAAATGCTCGGACAGCTTGGCATTGCCATTGCCATTTCCAAATGGGGGCTGCTCAGGGGCGAATTCGGGCCTGACTGACAGGGAGTAGGTGTGACCGGGCTACTCATTCATTCTGACAGTTTTCCCACCCACTCTCGCACACGAAACGCAATTTGTTGGATTGTGGGCAGTGCCCCTCGAGCTGGAAAGCACTCAAAGCAAATGCTATACTTTGAAATTGAATTTAAGTTGGCCAGAAAACAAGAGGCTTCAGAAAGTAATAAATGATTAAAAACTTCAATGCTTATTAAATAAATTACATCCCTCTTTCAGATTTAGGCATTTCCTTATAATACCTGATAATATACTATATTCTCATAGCTCCCATATTTCTTTCAGTGTAAAATTACCACCACTTTGAAATGAGAAAAAAGAAAGACAGAGACAGGTTTGCTTATGGCGCCAAAAAGCATTTCTCGCAGGTCGCAAGTCGCAAGTCGCGTGTCTCTGGGCTTTCATTTCATTTCTCTGGCAGTCTTTCTTTCTCGTTTTTTTGTTTTTCGGCTCTTGCAACTAATTTTCATTTCCAACAGAGTGCACCTTTCGCCGGCAGCCGAAGAGAGGGGGCTGGGCCGGGTGGAAATCTTATTAAAAAGTGAACAGAGTGCGATAAAATTGAATTTGCATTCAAAAGCCATTAACCGCAGCAGTCACTCAGACCCTGCTATCCCCTTTGCACTTTCTAAGAACTTCAAAATACAAAAAACAAGCGAAGAAAATGGAGCTGGCGAAAAAGTCCTTGAACTGGGCTTTAATGCGAGGCATACATATTTTTTCCAAAAATTCCGTTCGAACCCAAAGGAAATTATTATTTCGCGCACATTTCGTTGACAGCTGTTGGCTATAAAAATCTATACGTGATATAGAGATATCAATAATTATTTCATATGTCTACTTGCTTGGCAATAATCACGAGTGCTTTCACTCGGCTGGAAAAATATTATTTTAATTGCATATCAATTTCACGCTCTTTAGACCCCCAAAGCCCCGCCAGTCCGCGGCTCAATCAGCAGCGAAGCAACAAATTGTTCGAAAAGCCATTTGGCCAATGATCTGAACGATGCGTTTATAATAATCACCACCCACCACCCACCGCTCACCTGCCTTTCTGTTTTGTTTTTTGGCCCACCTTTAACCACCCATTTCGAATTAAAGCTAAACGATTCGGGGCCATTATAAAGCCCAGGGAACCATGTTGGCCAACTCGCGCTCCCTCTGCGTTCGCCTCTATTGGTTCATAATTGCCCCACTTATTGCCATTTTTATGGCGTATTACATCCAGCCCAGCACGTCCACTCCGCTCTGTTCTGAATTTCAATTAATAACTCGGAAAGAGTTGTAACGAGCCAAAAATACAGGTGGGCCTCTGTTTTATGTTTTACATTTCGGGGGCTCAATGATTTCAGTTTATTGAGAACATCGAATCTGCCGCAAAAAGGCAACAAAAATGTGTTAACTTTGAACTCTGACTTGTTTGGCCTGAATTTTATTAGATTTTCAGAGTGGGTAGATCATAGAAAGTTGGGATTTTAAGCTGTGAATGTTCTCATAGCTCTTCAAATTTCATAGCTCTGCTGTTTGTATCATCATTTAAGAATGTTTCTATATAAGCCAGGCCCTGTCCCATCCAATCTAACTTTAAAAACCAATCTCAGTAGAATCGATCGATCAACGAGCCGAGCAGATTGACATAATTATTGGTCTGTTGTATTGCTGCGCTCATCGCATGTCAATTAAAATCACAATTTTCGATGCAAATCAATCAGGGACTGGTGGACTTGGGCTTAACGGCGTTCAGGAGTTAAGTGAACCACCGAAGAGGGATTGATGTATTGCCCAATGGACCTGGCCAGACATGAGCTGATTTAAAAAATTGGAGGGAGAGTGAATGAGATTTGTTTTTTCTTTTTGGCAAACATGTCAGACCGTTTACAGATGACAAATTCATTTTTAACACGACACAAAAGTGAAAACCAACTGGGAAAATATGTTTTCTTATGTGCTCTCATCATTGAAAAGCTCACAAAGGGACATTGCAAGGCACATTTCCCAGGGAGTCGCTTATGTGGTCTGTCTGACATTTGACTTTTGCCGCCTCCTTTGGACAACCTTTGTGTGCTTCGGATGTAACATGTGCACCTCTCTTTCTCTCTCTGCCTCTGTGATAGATAGCAAAAATACAAAATTAAAGATTCGCCTTTGGTCGGCGTTAAACGGAAGCTTGGCCCAAAAAAGGTCAAGTCCAAAATGATGGATGATGCTGTGACACTCACTCACTCTCTCTCAGATACTCAAACCCACATATACTCGTATATCCAGAAAAGCATCCCCAAGTGACATTCCTAGCTCGCTCTCTCCTCCCTCTCAGCTCGCTTTCGGGGTTGCAAATGCTTCGATACTTCCAATCCTTATCACAGGTAGCTAACTTAATATCCGCTTTAAAAATATCCCATAACTTCGGCTATCTCGCTGCTCATCGCATAAATAATAACTGTTAACTGTTAACAGGGCCAAACAAGCCACAAATTAAAAACTACAAGGAGCACTAAAAAGGATGGGAAGTTCTTCGAAATTTACGAGCACCGGAATCACGTGTCAACCACGCGCGTTCTCGGTTTCAGTTTCAGTTTTGGTTTCATCCAACCCCCAACTCCGAACTCTGAACTCAGGGAACACTCACCTCGCCGCGCTGAACACCCAACCCAATCGAGTCCTGTCCCGAGGACGAACCCCTCCCAACCCAGGGGTTTCCGCAGCTGTAGATATGATGCATGACTCGACGGAAAGCGGTGGCGTTGTCGTTGTCGTTGTCGCTGTTCCTGCCAGTCGTCGTCCTCAAGGATTCCCATTCACGTGCTAAGCGTATGCGAACTTAAATCTGTTTGCTCCTGCCGCCGAATTTGAATATATGAGACTGTGGCACAGGAACAGGAGCGGATGGAATCCTTTGGCCCTGCGGTTCGCCGTTTGCATATAAAACACAAGGGAAGTCAACAGCCGATGACAAACAGAAAATCCATTTTCACACACACATTAGTTTTATTTAAATCACACACACTCGCATCGGGGGTTACAGGGGTTAACCAGGAGTTGGGCTAGGATAGGATTTCTTTCCGTCCTTGTTGACTTTTCACGCTCTTTTAAATGCCGTTAAATGTGAAGGCCTTGTCGAGATTCGGCAACATTAATCAAAAAATCTGAGCATGTAGGTGGTTCTTTTTAGGTAAATTATGATTTTTCATATTCATTTCGGTTGTTGACAGCAATGCTGTTGGGGGCTTAGATAAATAGAAGCAACAGGATATGATTTTTGTACGAGAAAGGAAGTTTCTAAGATGTCAAAATCAAAGTATGGATTGCCTTGTAAGGAAGCACTTGTAATAGTAAAGTAAAAGTAATGACTGCTTTCTAAAGAACACCTTTTAAAAATCAATTTTGTATACGTTACAACCTTTTCAATGCATTTTCTAGGATCATCTCACAGAA